CCATGTCAATTTGGGGGAGAATGTTCACTCTCTTGATATAAAATATGGTTAAAATCATCTAGGATTTATTTAAAATATTTATATTCCCACCTAAAATATGGATGCTCAATGTGTTGTTAAAATCTTATTTTTTTAAAATATATTTTATTGATTTTTCACAGAGAGGAAGGGAGAGAGATAGAGAGCTAGAAACATCGATGAGAGAGAAACGTCGATCAGCTGCTTCCTGCACATGCCCCACCAGAGATGTGCCCGCAACCCAGGCACATGCCCTTGACCGGAATCAAACCCGGGACCCCTCAGTCCGCAAGCCGACGCTCCATCCACTGAGCCAAACCGGTTTTGGCTAAAATCTTATTTTTATTGTTCATATTTAGTAGTGCTCTTTGAGATACAAATGTCAGGCTTAAAGCTAGACATGAGACTAAACTAAACATGCAGATTATTTTTGCTGTCTCATCACTGGAGCGACAGGAAAGGCGAGGGCATCAGGGGCACCTGGACCAAACAGGGATGCCATCAGGAGCCCCTCCTCTCTCTCCGGGCTACCTCTGCTCAGGGGTCCCCTCTTTCCTCTTACACAGCTTTCTCCATGTGGTGGAAACAGGGCCACTATGTGAATATTCTCAGGCCTGGGCGCCCATGATCCTGGCTCTCTGGTAGGCCAGCAGAGAGAGCTTCCTGGGAGTTAGGTCATCCGGCTGGGAAAGGGTCCATCCTGGCCTGAACTAGCCTATCATGTGCCCTTTCTGATCCTTGTGGCCTGGGAGATAGGGTGCTGTGAGGAGTGGCCAGCCGGCCCTGCCTCTGTAGCCAGTGAAGGAGAGGTAATATGACCAGGAGCCCCCACAGAAGCTTCTGGGCCTGGGGAAAGTAGTTCCCAAAGAAAGGAAGTTTCCATCCATAACTTCTTTCTGTGATGGGAAGAAGGGGGCATGGAGCTGACAGAAGCTGATAGGTAGATGGGATGCAGAAGGGAAGGAGCGGGTAGGGAGAGCATGAGAACGGACAGATGGAGCTTTGCTCATTTTGTGAAGGGGCAGATGTTGATGCCTCGAGGAAGAAATGCCCTACCCTTTGGCGTGGTAGTTCCTCTGGGAGTGCTGGGACTGTCAGTGCAAAGGGGTAGTTTGTCACCTGGCACACACAGGGGATAGGTCCTGGACCTTGCTCCCTAGACTGCATGACATTCAGTCCACGGTTTGTTTCCAGCCTCTGGTCTTTGTGACCCACCACAACGGTTTTAGTTCTGTTTGGGGGATGGCTGTGCTATGAAGGGCAATTTTAAAAACTGAAGAATCACAGTCATTTCTAACTGCATCTAAGACGCAAAGGGAAAATCCCTCTTATGGATCATATCCATCTCTCTATGTTCCATATTTTCCTTTTTGTCGTTGTTGCTGTTGTTTGATTTTTCCTGAAGAATGTCATGTGCTTCAGACTTGTCCGTATTCTAAATCTCATTTAAAAAGTGTTAAATCAAGAAAGTCTGCCAGCTCCCTCCCTTTGTTTTCTCTCCATGTTGGACTGCTCTGGCAAAGGAGAGTAATATTACCTTACCATGTAAAACATGGCTAATGGCTTTAAAAGAATTCCCCAGCAACTGAATAATGGGCTGCCAAAAATATTCTTGGTGCCAAAGGATCTGAATATGTCTGTACCATTTATTGTGCATTTCTCCTTTCATCATGACTAAGTGCTCACAAAAGACATAAAGACTTAACCCTCTAGGGCAGGGGTGGGCAAACTTTTTGACTCGAGGGCCACAATGGGTTCTTAAACTGGACCGGAGGGCCAGAACAAAGCATGGATGGAGTGTTTGTGTGAACTAATATAAATTCAAAGTAAACATCATTACATAAAAGGGTACGGTCTTTTTTTTCAATAGTTTTATTCATTTCAAACGGGCCAGATCCGGCCTATGGTTCCGTAGTTTGCCCACGGCTGCTCTAGGGTATGTGCCATTTGAGGGCAGAAACCATATTTTAATATATTCAGTTTGATACCTAACATATTGCGATGCTTACCAGATTATCAATAGCAAGCAATGATGGATGCCTGTGGTACATAAGATGCTCAAATTATCAATTAAATTGATTTCTAGTGACTAGAATGAAGTTGTTTCATTGTCTGTATTATGCTTGGTTGGGTGCCTTAATGTTTATTCTAAGGATTTCTGGAAGTCTTGCACCAAACACTTATAACTTGTTCTGCCTGCATGAATAAGTTTACGTTTCTCCGCAATAAGATAGAACCTATTTCTTAATTAAAGTTTCATGATCTAAAAGTCTGATAGTGCAATATAGCAAAGTCATTTACTCTTGTTTTATTTTGATAATAAATCTAGTCTATTAAAAAGAGGTTTTCTTAAAAATTGTGCTTAAAATTAATTTAGGAATGTACAGAAGAAAATCTAGGAATATGCAAATGTAGAAAAATTTAAAAGGTGCTTTGTTTCTCACTGAAAGTAAGAAACGTCAAGAAAAGTAGCATCTAAGCCCACTCCCCACCCACCCGCACCCCACCTTCTCCTGGAGCCTTCCCACTTGGTCTGTGCTCAGAATGTCTGGTTCTCACTTGGCAGGAGACTCAATCTCTCCTGCTTCTTAATTTGGGCCGGGCAGTTGCCAGCTGCCCTGGAATACAATGTGGTTTCTGAGTCAGGTATGTATTCTTCGCCAGTCTCTTAATTGCTAGACTCCTAGGGGACTAGTGTCATCATCTTCAAAGAAATCCTGAAATAGAGATTCTTAATTGTTTTGCATGTGACTCACAGGATAGATAACATTCAGATGGGGTACACTCACCTGGGCGCAGAGCCATCAGAAAATCTTGAGTTGATTAACTAAAATTCCATATCATGTACTCCTGCTCAGCAAAGTGTATTGGAATTCAGTTAGATAAGAGTGACTTGATCCAAGCAGGTAAACCCGCATCTGCTTTAAATTTGTGTGTGTGTGTGTGTGTGTGTGTGTGTGTGTTTGTCTAATTCCTATCTGATATTTAGTCCTTTATTATTTATGAATAATTATCTAAAATGCTCTATCGTAGCCAAGGAGTATGGGGAAGCAGCATGTTTGTGCTCTCTTGGGACTGGTTGAGTCCTCAAAAAGGAAACTACTACTGCATAATCTCCCATCTTTCCAGAAAGTCTGCCTAATGTTTAGGAGACACTGATCACAAAGCCTGTGAGGCAGAGCTCTCAGAAAGACATATAAGCACCTAGTTCATTGTGACTTTAGGAAAAGAAGCAGGGTAGCTTTTCAGCTGCCCCTGGAGACCAGTGCTGAATCTACCACTTCCTGTTTACAGAACTAAATTGTACAGAAAGGGAGTAATTATCTGCTGTGATTATCAAGCAACTAGTACAAAGCACAACATATAAATTTAGGGATACATGGGTGTTTACTTGAAATAGTAACTGAAATTAAAATATTTTTGCAACTGACTGGACATCATGAAAATGTGAAACTATGGGTTAAGCACAAACCTTTAATTTTTATATAAAAACATTTTTTATACCTAGCTGTGTTCTGTGGAGTTGCATATACTACTCTTCAAATCATGCCACTTAAAATAGCATTTCTGCATTCAGGATATTTCTGGTTAAAATATTTAGCTTAAAACATTAAATGTTAATCCTGTGTTTCAACCCTAGTGAGATAAAGGCATGGGGCATAATGAGTTGGAAATTCAGAGTATTGTTTGGGGAAGAAAAAGTTTTACTCTATCCTTTTAGGTTCCCTGGCTGGTCTAATAAGCATAATATAAATTAACAGGAGAAAAATCAATTTAATTTAATAAAATGGGCATTCCAAAGTATGAGGCTCCCAGATAGTCAGGCAATTGGTATAGGCATGAGAGTTCACAGGGTAGAAGGCCATTCATGGCGGGCAGGGAAGAGAAAATGTCAGTTAAACAAATGCAGAGAACTCTTTCTGATGTTCTCTTTGTTATAGCTCTTTTTCTGGTATAGGCACCTGTATCTAAACTACTTTAGTCAGTTAAGGGGGAGGTAAAAAGAAAAACTTCCTATAATCTCTGTTTCTTACAAATAATTGTTATGCCCAGATTTCAAGATCCCCCAAAGGACATCACTAGGGAGCACTGAGTCCGATGCAAAAGCATAGAGTCTTTATTTAAGCCCGGGGCTTGGTCCCTCTGCCTCCCCTACCAACGCAGCGATAGGGTGCGAGAGAGAGAGAGCCCGGTGTTCCAAGAGAACAAAGAATTTATAGGGCTTGGGGTCAGGGGGTGGGGGCACACTCTGACCACTGATTTGGCCGATTCCAGTTGGTTGAGTGAGGGCCGGGGGCTAGTGACTCAAGGGCAGGGTGCAGCTAGGGTCTGGTTTACACCAAGACAGTGGGGTGGCTAGCATACTTTTGGCCTTGGGCTAGTTTCCCCCACTTTCCCATTGGCCGAGATAAGGGCAGGCTGAGTCACTGATACATTCTGCGGCTTTTTCTTGGAAGAGGGGTTAGGGACGCAGCTATCAGGCCTGTTCTGTCCTTTCATAATTAGCCTAAAATAATCCTCATGATAAAGAGACACATTCTGAGGTGGAAAATTTTGCTACCCTACAGTGTCCTCTAGCTTTCAATATGCTACACGAAAGTAAAAGTTGAAGTTTAGAGAGTACGGGTTAGAATAAACTGTTTAATTATTTTTGTCAGGAGAGTTTTTCTCATATTATTCTGAACCAAATGCAGATGTTTAGAGAATGAGTTAGTGGGCTACTGCCTTACCACAGGTAAGTAGGTACAGATTTGTCCCATTAACTCCGGATGTAGAATGTTCTCTAAAAGGCCATTTGGGGACTAGAAGAAAGCAGTGATGCATCCTAGGGGAAACAAAGTCTCCACTTAAATTTAAAACAAATTTTAAATTTTAAAACAAATGCTTAGGAGAGTGTGCAAACCAACAAACAAACAAAACCACAGGACAAAGGTAGCAGAATACTTGATGTGCACTACTTATGTTCCTTTCTTCTCTTGCAGGCTCAACGTGGGAAAAGACATTTCGGCAGATTGGCTTTGAAAGGTAAGCAGCGTTAGCATGTCTCCACTTTTAGCATACTAATGTCCTATGTTATTCTAAGTACGTTATGGATTATAAATCAATGGTATTGCTACCACTACTTTAGTAAGTAAGTAAGTTTGTGCCATTGAGTAAGTCATCATTTTGCTCCTTGAGACTTGGTCTCTGTAAAGTAGAGCTTTGCCTTATAAAATCTTTGCCTGAATACAGAGTGAACTTGAAGATTAACTGGAGCCAGTTTTTTGAAAACACTTCTTAAACTGCAAACTATGATAAAAGGTAAGTTGTACAGTTAGAGAATTAAGAATTAGAGTCTACTTTCTTATAGGTTGTTCACCTCATCTGTTAGTTCTATAGTTTTTGTGCAGAGAAAATTTATATTTATATTGATGTCTTTCCAATTATTAAAATGATTAGATATTAGCTCTTCGTGAAAGGTTGAGATCACATCATGCCTAAGCATTTCTGTTGTCAATGGAAATTGGGCTGATCGCAAAGAAAGAATTCCAAACACCCACACATGGAGATTGTGGTGTGGTGGCCTGGTTTATTTCTGATGTACTATCAAAAGAGTTTTCTTCCTGGCTTCCCAAGGTCCTATGGCTGTCTGTGCTGCCATGGAAAACGTACAACCGTGTCTTCAACAAGGCCAAGGCCAGAGCCCAGAGTTTCTGCTTCATGGTCCTTCAGAGTCTGCACAATCTGCCAAGGGCCCCAGTGGCCATTAGAGCCACATGGTCCGTGCTCCTGGGCTGGAGAACATGTGATACGGTCCAAAGGGTGAGAGTGCAGATCACTGAGCAAGGGAGAATGAGCTTCTTTTTTCACTTGGAATTATGTACTCTCAGGCTTGGGAGGAACCAGAAGCTTTTTCAAAATAACCAATCAGCTTCCCAAACTGTATGTGTTGTTGGGGGTTGGGGGATAGGGCTAAGGGAGGGGAGGCAGCTTACATTGGCTCCGCCCCCCCCCCCCCCCCCCCCCAGCCAATGATTTTTTTTTTTCCAGGTTAGACTGACAGACCTGTATGCTTAAGTACCGCCCGCTTATGATATTGCTTGGGTCCTTATTTCCCCCTGCCTAGTTTCAATGACTAAGATTTTTACACGGAACCATGCTGAATTCTGTTTTGTGTTGTTTCATTTGCTCTAGTCCTATATCTCTGAGGACAGTCCCAAATCTCAAGTTTTATTGGCTATTCTCATGGTATGAATATTTTAAATAAATCCAGACAGTATAAACTCCATATTATAGTGCCTCCCTAAAATGTGTATGTTTCCTGAAATAGATGTACACGTGAAAATATTACTAAGGAATCTATTAAGGGATATGCTTTGTTTTTAAACTGCCATCTCAGTTTGGTGAGCATCGTGATTTTTAGATATTATGTTAAAATGTCATCCTGTGACTTTCCATGTTGCCCCATGTTTTCTCATTCAAGGGCAGAGAGTATTCTCTGCGTTGCATCAACTCTGTTAAAATACAGAGCAGATACTGATCTGTGGGGTTATTGTGCAATTATTGTTGCAAAGACTGTATTAAGCAGTGCTGTCAAATATGGCTCTGCTGTTTTTCTTCTCAAGTTTAACCTCTTCTTTATCTTAAAGGGAATTTCAATGATATCTTAAATGAAGCTCTCTGGTTCTTTAGAGCCGTTGTAAGAGATATTGATCCTTTCCTCGCTATGTCCTTTTAAGTTTGCTAGCAGATTATTTTAAAGTGGTCACATCCAAAGGAAATGCAGTGACTGAGTCAGCTAAAGCTCCAACACTTTCTTCAAGGATAAGAAAGCAAAGATGTCCTCTGTTGTACATTTTGTAACTGAAAGGAAGAACTAGGGATCTGCCCTCCCCATCTCCTTGCAGTAATGCTTGCCATGAGATGACGGTGTTTAGCCTTTCGCTTCCTGGAAACTTTGTGATTATATCCATTGCTTCAGAATAAATACACATTGTCACAATTTACATGGCTGAATTCATGACAGTAGGTTATGTCCACCTTAAAAAAATCATCCTTGTCCCCAGTGGGGTATATCAGGAATTTACAGAGGAAGGATCTAAATTCCTATATCTTTGTTGTTTCCACCTCTAACATCCCCACCCACTCCTGGCGCTCCAATGTTGATATCTACACAACAAAAGAAGACTCAGTTGTATGGTGTTATTTTATTTTGATGATAGAGAAAAATATCTGTGTCTAACCTATTTTCATTTCAGTTAGAAAGCTTCGCTTTCTGTGCAGATTTCCTAAGCTTACAAGTATAAATATTTCCAAATCATATTCATTAATCTTGGTTAAGGCAATGCAGATGGGCATTGCTTTGTAAATTCATCAATACTCAGTATGTTCTGAACGAGTGTGTTTGCTAGGGAATGGCCCAATTTTCAGTGCTTTTTTTTTCTCTCACTCGTGCGAAATCTGATGAGGAGGCTGGACAACTCTGCAGAGCAGCCTCTACATGGTGTGTCAGTGTTTGGCTTCAATCTCTCACACTTCTCTCTCCACATGATGCTTCTGAGTTTGCCTGCGGGTGGGAGGAGAGGTGGGAGAATTGTACGCTGATTCTTGAGTGTTTCCACCCTGCAGTGGCAGCTCACAGTTCCTGGCCCACAGCAAGTCACCTTGCTGATTTGTAGGGAAGGAGAGGTGTCACTCCGTCACGCTTGCAGGAAGGGCCAGGAAGTAGAATATCAGAAAGCTGCAGGAGTATCTATCACATAAGCTTCGCGTAAGGCCTGTACGTGGTTTTCTCTTTCCAAAGCTACACTTTGCATCTGAGACAAAATGTGTCAGCAAGGACATAGATAGGCTTATGCGTAGTCACCTGCGACCAGAAATAAAAGTTTCTGCCTTCTGGGAAATCTTATTGCTGCCCAGTAAAAAATAATCTTTTACTGATCTCTCATCCATTTGTAGTTAAAAAGCAATGAAGTTATTCCTAATAAATCTATATAATCAGCACAGTACCTCAGATTACATCACTGTTAACAATATTGTACCTGATTCTATTTGATACTCTACTTGGATTGTGGAATGAAATACCTTGCCCCTGCAAAGAATATGTTAAAATAGAAATTACCCGGAAAACAGCCTGCTTTGGGGAAACACAAATACTCCTAGGACCCCCCCCCCTTCACCCCCTTGTGTAGATGTCATTCAAAAGGCAAGGCCTTGTCTTTAGGGGGCTGAGGAGCTTCCCACAGCCTGTCTGTTGTTGGGCTTGTCTCCCTGCATCCATTTGGTGGGGAGCTGCCCCTCATGCTTCAAGCTTTAGACATGATTGCTTTTGTGGAAACTTTCCTGACGACTTACTTCTAGGATCCCACCTCTTCTTGTCACATTTTTTTACATTTTTCTGTTCTGCAACTGGACATACGGTATTGAGACTTTCCTCCTGGGTTTCTACCGCTTTGGGCATGAAGGATGGGGCTGTGCTGATCCCCTGGTTCCGCGACACTGCCTGGCATGTGCTAGCTAATCCGACATTTGGTGGGTGCCTGACTGAGTCCTTGATGGGACGCGTACACAAATATGGTTGGAGCGTGCTGTGAAAGAGGGGGCCTCTGAGGAAGGCAAGAGCCCAAGGCCACCATCTTTTCATCGTCACCTTGCAGCTGCTGGTGGGAGGATGGGCCGCTGTGGCCGGAGCTGACTCATCCTTGACAGTGTAGGGAGGAAGACGCGACTCGGCTCTGTCAGTGGGAACAATTGTTTAATTCAATGACCCTCATATCAACAATAGAGTCTTCCTGAATCTCTCTTCTCAAACTCCTGAGTCTAATGTTCTGAGTTTGACACCAGCTACTCCGACAAAATCCCTGTGGGATCAAGAACCTGGTGAGGAGTTCTAGACCAGAATCAAACCTGGGACCCTTTGGCTCACAGGCTGACACTCTATTTTTTCCCATGTGAACAACTGTAAACCTCCTTTTGCCCCACCCTCTATGTTGGACCAATGCTTCTGAGGGCATCTTTTGACCTCTAGTGCCAGCCCAGGGATTGGCAAATAATAGGCATTTAATAAATGTTTGATAAATAAATGGCATTTTAAATAAATATTACTGTGTCATTTCTCTGTTGGCCCAGCTTTTTTGGGGGGTTAAATTTTAGTTTCTATTGGCCTTTTCATCTGGAGGATGAATAGATTTCTTGAGAAATTTAAGGCCAATTATTACATAATTGGATATCATCCACCTTTATGTATAATTCACAAGTTGTGTAATTGAAATGCATGCTATCTTTTTAGGTAATGTTATATAAAGTGTAGAGAAATAATGAAAAAAACTAGACTCCAATAATTCTTTCGTGATATACTTTCCTGTATGAAATCTTATGCCTGAGAAATAGGATGGTTAAGAGAAATCAATTATGATAGAAACAAAGATATTCATTTCTATAGTTACTGCTATGTTTTTCTGATGTTTTTAAGTTAAGGTTATGAGTCTGTAGCATAAAAAGGATAATTTGAATATATATTCATTTAGATCAAGACAAATATTTCTTTATATTGCCTCTCTAAGAAGCATATAGGAAGGAAAAAATAAAACATTACCACAAATCTCATCTTACTATAATATCGTGGTTTATGAAGTTAAAGAAAAGAAACCTTAGTTGGGAGTTAGCAATGTGTTGTCAGCTTGGAGCTTATAAGTGTACAGTATTTTTGCATGTGGAGGTGCACAGTGTAGGTTTCTTATTTAATGATTTCCCACGTTGTTGTGTTGGCTTCCTGAAAGCTGAGCTGCTAACTGCTTTCATTCTTTCAGGCTGCATATGGATATCCCGGGAAAAAAGCTACTTTGAGATTACGATATAAAATTTTTGTCACAGTCATTTATATTCAGGAAACGACTAGAGGAAAAGGATGTTTCTGTACTTTGGTGTTTAAAATTAAGCCCAATTTATTAGTTTATTCATTCATTTGAACATTTTCAAACCTCCACCCTGTGCCCACTCCTGGGCTAGATTTGGGTCTTCAAAGAACATGACAGGGGGAAGAAACA